AATAAGTTTTTTTTTTTTTTTTTAATAAATAGTTATACAGATGCATTAATCGATAAAAAATTAAGTAATAAAAGGTGTGGGGAGAGTTCAATGATTTTTTCGCCTGTTATTTTGTCCGTTCCTTCGGTACGGATAATCAAAAACGGTTAATAAAAAAAATATTAGATAAAAAAGAAATTGGAAAAAAAAACATCAAGGAAACCGAAGAATTTACAAAGAAATTAAAGTATTTTTACCAAGCAATATTTTTTTCCCCTATCACTCACTTTTTTTTTTCTTTATCGATTTCTATAATTCCAGACTTGTTCTTAGAAAGCTTTACACGTATACGAGAATAACCAAAATATGTAACATGAAGTACGATCCAAAAGCTTTGAAAGTGTAGCTCATGATATTGGGAGAGAAAAAACGAGTCGGATCTACGAAAGGAAACTACCCATTTTCTTTTACGATAACAGGGGTATCGAAGGGTGATGAAAGGAAAATCGGTTAAAGTTATATGTAAGAGATTTTCCTGCTCTAACTAATATCCTCTCTCTCGTCTCGCATCTACGAATCGTATAATATTGATAGAGATCTATGAAATCTAATAATTCACTGAAACTATCGACATTCTCAAAACTTCAGGTCGCACTCATTCATTCGCCGCTAGACACAAATAGTTACAGCTCAAAATTCTTAAAACTTACCGGTTGACGTCGTTCCGGCCAAGGGCGAGGATAAGAACAAATTAATTAAAGGCCCTTCGCGTCGCCCTTGGCCTAATTGGAACGTCGTTTCGCGGTACTCCTCATTTTCACCGCCTCTTACTTTTTATCTTACTTTTTGCTAACTTTTAATACGAACATTTAGGAAGATAGCGCTATTGATAATTAATATCTTTTGAAATTTGTTAACATTCTTTATATAAAAATCTGCATTTGCGTGTATTCATTTATTGCTTCGTAATCGTCGCCATTTTGAGTAACTTCTTGTTCCTCCTCCCCCCTTAAGAAGAAGACAAAAATAAAATACAAAATACATAAAAAAAGAAAAAAGAAAAAAAAAAAAAAAGAAAAAAAAACAAATAGAGCTATCTCGGGCATTTGTGACCCGTGATGTTTCTCGATTATCTAAGTCACGATGTTTTTAAAGACGTGCTTCAGATATCAGATCTGTTGCGGGACGAATAACAGAAATAAATCTCAAGGGGAGTTCAACCTTCGTGATACTCGTTTCTCCCTTTTCTCATTTCATTTACCTAACGTGAAGCGAACGATCTCGATTAAAATCACTTATTCCATTAAACGGAAGCATCGCTGGGCTATCCTCGAATAAGAAAGATGATGCAAGAAAAACCGAAGAGGACGACCGTGCGTGAGACGCTATTTTTCGTCGATCCATCATTTTAAAACTCCTTTTATTGTATACATCGATTTCAAGACATAACCCAACGTTGCTTCGACGCCGACAACACTACCTTACTAGTTAGAATTCATTAAATAAAGAGTAAAAAAGAATGTCCCGTGGCACGGCTTTAAACTTTGTCTCATGGAAGTCGTGCGACGCACGCGGATTTCTATTTTCCTTCTTTTTCTCGTTTTTTTTTCACTATTCTTTCTCTCATTGGCGATTATTGGTCTTCTATCTCTTTTCTCTCTCTCTCTCTCTCTCTCTCTCTCTTTATTTATTTTTTTATTCTTTTTCGGCGACAATGATAAGATCGCCGATTAGAAGGACAATTAGCCGGATATCGCGGTTGTCGCGCGCCGGGGGAGGTTAATGAAGGGGTAGCAGTCTTTTTAGAGTCGAGCGAATGTGGGTGTAACAAGATACAGACCATCCTTCGCATGAGAACGAACTTTATCTCTTATCTTTATCTTTATCTTTATCCTTATCTCTGTCTTTTATCACTCTCAATATTCTTTTTCTTTTGTTGTTGTTTTTGTTTTTTTTTTAATGTTTCGCTTCTTCTTTAGTATTAACTTGTCAGGTGTATATATAAGTGGATTTGGAATGGTCGTTGTTCCGCGACGAAAGTTAGGCTGGATGCGTACCTTCGCGCGTTCCATATCGCGAAGAGTCATTTTATACGAAGAAGAAATATGATTGAAGAAAATAGGTGACGAAAAAAATCAAACGAATACAAAACAAAAACGATAGAACGATACAAAACAAAAAAAATAAGTCAAAGGAACGACGGAAATTAAAAGAAGCGGTACGAGAAAATTTTAGGCTTTCGCATTTTCTTCGTTTTTCTTTTTTCTTTTTTTTTTTTTGATACCCTCTACTGAAGATTGATAAAGTGATAGATCGTCGAACGTTTTCACCGTAAAATAATTTCGGTAATACGTTCCGCGTTGTTTCTCGTTGACCAGTATATCCATCCTCCGACGATATTTCTTACGGACGATATCGTGGATTTTAAATCCTCTTTTTGTTTCGTTTGTTTGTTTGTTAGTATTTTTCATTCTTTTTTTTTTCTCTTTCTTATTATTCTTTAGATATTCGTTGATATGTTAACGTTACACCGAGGGGCAGACTGTTTATTATCTTCGGAATCGCAAATTGACAATAACTTCTTTCCCCCTTTTCTTTTTTCTGCACATGTCTTACGGTCGTTTGCATGTATGTATAAAGATGGACGAGTCCGTATTTCTAATCTATTTTCTCTTTACACGTTAGCATAAAAAGATCTAATGATCGGGTTCTTTTCGATGACGCCACAACTTCGTTTTTTTTAGCATCATCATTCGTACCGCGATAGAGTCGTCCCCATGGTTCCTTACTCTCTTTCTCTCTCTCTCTCTCTATTATTTTTCCTCAATCTTGTTTTCTCTTTTCGCTTTTTTCTTTCTTTTCTTTTTTATTATGTCCACACACACGCACACGCACACGCACACGCACACGCACACGCACACGCACACGCACACGTACACGCACAGGCACACGTTCCTAGGTCATATCATATGCTATATTCTCACGCTATAAGGTCATATCATTCGCGGGTGAAGGTTCTTGCGCGCTCACCTTGGCACATATATTACTATCTCTTTTCTTTTCGTTATATTTCTTTCGCATTTTTGATACTCTCGATAGGTATCACCTACTTTATAGACCGATTAATTAGGCATATACAATATACTCATATAGGTAACGCAAAGGCAAGAAACTTTTATCATCTTCCTTTCACTTTTTCTTTCTTTATCTCTCCATCTCTCTCTTTCCCCCTCTCTTTCCTTCTTTCATACGCAAAAATTTACAATAATTTCGAAATTCATTTCACTTTTTCCGTTTCTATCTCGTCGTCATCGTCATTAGCTGTTTTGTTTGCACGTTGAAAATGCTCTCGCTCGCGTCATACATACACACACACACACACAAACATTTAAACAAACATACTCGCACGCGATCGCTTCGTAAAAGCAACAACACGATGACCATCATTTCTTTTTTTCTTTCTTTTTTCTTTCTTTTCTTTTTTTTTAAGCGAGTCGAGCAAACGTCGTCATGATTAGCAATTTATAAGCCATTCCTCACTAAAACTTTTCTAATTTTCTTTTTCTTCCTTCACTTTTCTTTATCGCTAAAAAAACAACATAATCGTTCTTACGTTACAAGAAAATAATACTTCGAATATAAACTCCTATGATCGTTTCTCTTCCTCATTGTTATATGTTCTCATTAATGGAATAAGGAAAGAGAATAAGGAAAGAAAAAGAAGAGGCAGCAGCAGCGAAATCAGTGAAGAAACAAACGTGAATGATCAAAGTACCTTATAACCATTTGTTCTAATTAATTAGTTAGACCGTTTGTCCGTAATACGTATATAAAAAGTACATGCGTATATACCAAAATACAAATATATATATTTATATATATATACATATACAAAAGTAAAAAAAAAAGAAAGGCAGTGTTTTCTTACGACTGTCGATCCTTTGTATTCTTCTTTTTTTCATTCATTTATCATCAAATGGTGGTACTTTTATTGATTTACCATCAAAGTGGTACTCTTTTATCCGTTGTATGTAAACTCATTAGGCCGTACATTTTCATAGCTCGTATTATAAAGGATCCAGGATCACGCACGTTAAAATTATTGAAATTAAAACGAAAAAAAACAAAAATAATAAAATGAGAAGAAAAAAAAATGAAAAATGGAAAGGAAAGAAAATATGATGGTCGAAAGAAGGGCGTCGCAATATTGTGGCGGGAAATTAAATGACAGATCCTTCGAAGAATTTTTAAGAATTATTATTATGGCGGATGTGCTTTCACGCGCGTACGTTCTCTCTCTTTCTTTCTCTTTATCTCTTTCTCTTTCTCTTTTTCGCTTTCTCAATTTTTCTCTTTTTATTCTTTTTATGCGAGGGAGTCAACGACGCAAAACGGCTTTTTAAGGCAGTGGATTGCATGCACGCTATTGCGGCTAGTTCCTGTCGCGTTTATATCAGTCTGATGATCTCGTGACGATTCATCGCAAGAACGAGGAATAAAGCGAAAGGATGCGCTCAACTTTTTTTTCCTTCGCGTATTTTCCGAAAGGAATTCGAATGAATTCGTTCTCTCTCTCTCTTTCCTTTTCCTTGCGAGCAATACAATCGTCCTTCATTATAGTTTTCGCTTAAATCCTCGTCGTATTATGTCAAGGACAAATCTTAATCGACGCCTACAGTATATATATATATATATATATATATATATATATGTATATATATATGTATGTATGTATATATATAATATACATATATGTACGTATATATATAATATATATAATATGTACGTATATATATAATATATATAATATGTACGTATATATAATATATATAATATGTACGTATATATAATATATATAATATGTACGTATATATAATATATATAATATATATAATATATGTACGTATATATAATATATATAATATATGTACGTATATATTTGTTCGAAGAGAAAAGATCCGATCGATACATCGATCGCCTTGGAATATAAATGGTTGGTAAGATATTTGCGGAGAGGCCAATTTTCTTTCTTTCTTATATTTTTTTTTCAAGCGGGACTACTCGCTGGAATGTCTTCCTAATTCTAATATCGAGAATTAAAATGTCAGGTCTCCGTCGAGAGAAAGAGGAAGTTGTCTCTCGTTATCACTCGACTTTGACTTCGTTTTCATGAACGCTCGCGAGACGAAGAGGAAAAGTTTGCTATCCTCTTTGAGAGGATGTCCATGATCCAGACCTGTCGTTTATAGAAAGCTGAAAATTCCTGCTTTCATGCAGGAGGACGATCGAGACACTCTCGTTTCTCTACCGAAAAGTTTGATTTCTTTCTTTTACCCTTCTTTCTTTCCCTCCATTTTTTCCTTTCCTAAACGAGAAAGCTCTGCGACGTGGCGGACATTTGCGCTCTTAACGCCGTCACACTGTTCATGATCTTCTTTTGATGACCGACCAGGGTTATACCAAGTGCGGTGAGTTCTTGAACGGTAACGCGAGCTGCTGCCTCCAACGTGGTCACTCCTGCCCTCTCGAAACTTTCAGCATATCGAGACATTTTGATCGAGGCCAACCACTCGCTGACCGAGGTCAACTGCGTCAAGTCCACCGCGTCCGGCGCCAGTGGATTGGTGCCCCTGTCAAGAACACTGCGTCAGATATATTGTGTTTCATTATTTTTTTTCTTTTGTTTTTATCGACTTTACTTCGTTCTCACTTACGATTTCCTTCCGATCTTTTTTCTGTTTGGTTTTCTTTTTTTTTTTCAACGCGTACGTATTTCTCGCTGATACAAATATTTTGATAGATCGTTCGAACTTTCTTTTAATATTTTTCTTTTTTATGGATATTTATGTCAAGAGAGATACGTTGTACTTCAGCAAGAAATGCGTACACGTTGAGAGAGGTAAAAGGTATCATATGGATATATGTATATATATATATTTTTTTTTTAAGGTTGGGATTGTACAGATAGCAGCTAGAGTACTCTCTTTGATTCATGTTTTTTCTTTCTTTTTTATTTTTTTGTAAAATTTGCTATACTTGACATTAGGTTTTCAAACAAAGCCAGATCCCAGGATATTTCATATTGAGTGACTCTACCATAGAGTATCGCGATTGTTTTATCGCAAGATAATTTATCATTACCTATTACAAAATCTGAAAACTTACGAAACCGTACTGGGATCTGGCTGAGAGATCGGATAGAAATGAGAAATTTACTTTCTGATTTATGTACAAGGAATAGTAATACGTATGTGTATGTACAAAGTGTTCGATCAATGAAAGGCACACATACATACACGGCTAAGTTCAAAAGTTACACGAATTATACGGAATGTTTTCGCTCGTGCTTACGCTTTCGCGAAACGATAAGTTTCGTGATCGCGCTTGCGAAAGGCAAAATACATTCTGTCGTCGTTAAAAAACATTAACGGGTAAATTGCAAGGTTCTTAGGATATTTCTTGCTACAATGTCTAAGATAAATTCAAGTCGTTCGATTTATTTATTCTCTTATTAGGTTCTTAAAATGAATAAGGGGTGAGGTGGGGTGGGCTTAGATAGACACGTGACATAGGGTATAATAGAATAGATAGATATATGTATATAAAATGGATCTTAATTTCTAAATGGGAAATCCATATGTTTTTTTATATGTACATCTTTCGACAAAAAGGCTCAAACGCGTGTTATCAAATTATACAGTAATACAAAAAAGCATTAATTACAGCATTGTAAACTATATTACTTTTGTAACAAGATATTTACACGTTTGAATGTAAGAAAAAAGTGAAGCTATACATTATCAGTTAAGTCGGAGCCTCTTTGTGTTTAAATATTAGATATATCAATATTTTAATAATAATAAAAAAATAAAAATAATAATAATTATAATAGTACTAGTAATAATAATAATAATTTGAATGAGGAAAATAAATAATAATAATATTAATAATATTAATAATATTAATAATGATAATAACAACACAGTAATATTAATAATAAAAAAAAAAGAAGAAGAAGAAGAAGAATGTAAGTAATAATAGTAGTAGTGATAATAATAGTAATAGTAACAATAATGACGCTAATAGTAGTAGTAGCAATAGTAATAGTCGTAGTAGTAGTAATAATAGTAGTATTAGTACTGGGTAGTTATAGTAGTAATGATAATCATAATTAATAATAAGTAACAATATTATAACTAGTAATAATTATAATAATAATGATGATACGAGAAATATGGTAAACTGAGCGATTTAAATAGTCGAGCTTGAAATGGATGTATACGTGTGAATCGGGGGTAATAGTGCGTATGAAGCAAGCAGTGCGATACGAACTAAAAGGGTACAAGCATAGCAAATGCTGTCTCGTCTACGTGATAGAAATATCTGTTACGATTTCGACAAAGCGTAGAAAGCAAGGAAGCATCTTCTCGTTCTTCTTTTTTCTATTTTAGTCTTCTTTTCTCTCTCTCTCTCTCTCTCTCTCTCTCTCTCTCTCTCTCTCTCTTTTTAACTTTAGCACGTAAAAAGAGTCAGTCTTTTTACTGTAATCAAAAAAAGAACTCTTTACGAGACTTCGTTGCTTCCCGCTTCATACGATTTTTTTATCTTTCTTATGGTTTTCGGCTATAGGAGAGACCGTTCTTGATATTTTTTTTTACCTTTTTCTCAAATGCACGTTGGAAGATGCCGATGTGGCGGGTGGGGGTGGGGGCGGAGCACCCCGTTCCCTGATTCTGACAATTGTTAGCATTTGTTAGTGCAATAGAGGTCACACTCGTGTGTGTTACTATTTGCAGTGTATTCGTGTTTTTTTTTTCTTTCTCGCGATACTTGTGGATTTTTTTTTCTGTTCTTGTTTTCTTTTTCTTTTTATTTGCTATGTGTACGTAAGTGTATGTGTGTGTATATGTTTTTTTTTTATTTTTTTTTATTTCTTATAGACCGCCAATGATAGCTCTCAATTCGTAAGTCGCACTTTCATTCGTTCGTTTCCTCTTTCCACGTCTTTTATTTGAGAGTGATCTTGTTTGTGTACTATTTGTGTTTGGTTGTGTGTTTCTGTATAGGTGCATAATATATAGGACAGTGTGGTTGCGTGAACGAGGGATCAATTCAGGAAATAAACACAATATAAACGCGATCAATGTTACGATCGTACGAAAAAAATCGCGTATAATGTCCAGGATAGATCGTTCTGCCATTGAAACGCGTTAATATTATTTCTTTGTTTCTTTTTTTCTTTCCTTTTCTTTTCTTTTCTTTTCTTTTTTCGTTTTTGTCGAGCCGACATCGAAAAATTGATTGTCCGTTTTATCATTATTCGTAAACTTGATTCTTTACTACTCTACGTCGTCGATATCACATATTACGTTGAACTTTCGAGAAGTACGCTCGTACGAAAATGTGTGCAAAATTGAAGGGGGATGATAAACAGTGATTAACAGAAAATGAGGAATGGAGGAAAAAAAATAAATTTGCCAAATGGCAAAACATTTATGGCGAAGATTTATTCGCTTATCGATTATTATCGATTATCTATCTTTTCCGTCATTCTTTCTTATCGTTTACGTTATTTTTCCTAAGATGGTTGCCCATGTTTTTTCTCCCTTTTTCCTTTTAATATCTCAAGTATAAAAATACTATTCTAAAATGGTCGAACCGTTTCGCTCGCATGATTATAATATTGCTAATAAGTCTTTACGTTTTTGTTTTTACGTTAAAATCGATCGACGATATTACGTATGCATACATAAATATATATATATATATATATATATATATATATTTATAAATAATATATATATATATACATATATATAACGTCATATGTATACGTGTATTCAATACTCGCGTTTGTAATAATACATTTACGTATATAATAATATGCGTTCACCACTAAATATAGAATTTGAAAAAGATCGTGAAAGACTATCGTTAATCGCGTACGCGTCGTCTTGTCTCTTTCATCTAAGCTCGCGATGTTACGTTCTACGTTTAGCTATTCGTTGGTTCGATTCGTCCTCTTTTATATAAAAGCTTTTTATCTTCTTTCTTTTCTATTTTCTTTCTTTTTTTCTTTTCTTTTCTCTTTTTTTATTCTTTATTTTATACTATTTACCTTTCTTAAACTGCAAGATGATATATTTATTGTTTTCGGACTCTTCGCGATCTCGCATGATTCAATGGCCGACGAACCCACTGTTACCTAACGTGATGTGCTATAAATGTTTATCGGTAAGATTACAAATGTCCTATACAATGTGTTGCTCGAAGTGAAAAAAGATCGCCGTATATTGACAGTACACATACGTGAACGTATATATATATATATACATATATATATATATATATACGTGTTACGTATATATATCCGTGTATAATGAGTAATAAAACTGTGCCTGTAATTTATAGTTGAAATAGTCGAGGTCCGGAATCGCGTCTACTCGATAAAAAACGCTCGTCTCGCGAAAGGAACAAATGGCTGAAACCCGTATAGAATGGTTCACTCAGAAGAAACGTGCGGGAACGCGAAAGAGTATCATGAAAACATATCCTCCTTAAATCGTTCTAATCTGAAATGATTATTATTATTATATACGCTCTATTATGTCAATGGTATTGATCGATACGAGATGATATATATTAGCGAAAGAAGCTAAATAGATCTAATGCTTGAACGAACAATACGATAAAATATGAAACTATAGTAATAATAATAATAATAATAATAATAATAATAATAATAATAATAATAATAATAATAATAATAATAATAATCATAGTAACAATAATAATAATAATAATAATAATAATAATAATAATAATAATAATAATAATAATAATAATAATAATAATAATAATAATAATAATAACAATAATAATAATAATAATAATAATAATAATAATAATAATAATAATAATAATAATAATAATAATAATAATAATAATAATAATAATAATAATAATTATTATAATAATAATAATAACTAATAATAATAACTAATAATAATAACTAATAATATTAAATTCGTCATCTACGGCTCTCGATTTATATATCTATATCTATATCTATATATATATATAGATATATGGTTTTATATACTATATAATCTCGGATAAAATCGACAACTATTAATCGAAAACGACGATCGTAATATAGACGTATGTATGGATGTATATATATATACAAGTTTAGGTAGGCTATAATATATAATATCAATTAGATCCCTTTAGTGAGCGGGAATAGAATATAGGAAATTATTATGAGAAATCGGTGGGGGAAAATGGAAGTCAACCAAAGTGAGTGAAGGGAACCCAATTGGGATATGTTAGAGGTGGTTGATGTGGCAGTGCGTGTGTTGCTGCGTGTGTGTGATAGTGTAGGCTACGGGCGGCTCCTGGTGGCATTACTGGAACGGCAATCGTTGACTGGGCCTGATGGGCCTGATGACCGACCACGTCTACGGGGAACGGTCCCGTTGTGGGTGCACCTGGTACCGGAGCAGCCGCCGAGGCAGCCGTGGCAGCCGCCGTGGCAGCAGCCGCCGCCGCCGCTGCTGCGGCCTGGGCGGCAGCCGTATGGCTTGTGACATAGTACGGATTGTGTGCGGGCGGCCTCACGCTGTTGTTGTTGTCACGTTGCGAACGTAGTAGGTAGCGAACGTAGTGGATGGTAGTAGTTGTCGTAGCAGTTCGTAGTCGGGTACCAAAGACACCACAAAACCAAAACCACAAAGAATTAGCCCAGAAAAAAAGGGTGCTGGCCTGCCGGAGATAGATAGGTACGAAAGAGAACTTATACTTGGGAATCGGACAGAGATTGACGAAGGCAGATAGAAAGAGAAAGAGAGAAAGAAAGAGGGAGAGAAAGAGAGAGAGAGAGAGAGAGAGAGAGAGAGAGAGAGGAAGAGAGAGAGATAGAGAGAGAGAGAAAGAGAGAGAGAGAGAAAGAGAGAAACAAAAAGTTAGTACGAGAGGAATCAAGGATTTCCCATTTTGGCCTGCGTTCAACGTGTTCCACGATGCTTCTACTTTTAACCGCGTCGACGGAGATAAAGGTAATTTACGTTTTTGATTATTTTTATGATTTTGAGACAAAATATCGTTGATAATAGTTATGCCTCAAAATTGATATGATTTATTTCCAAGTTAATTACGTATGAAGTTAAGATGATCTTAAAATCAATTTTAAGAGAACAACGTCACGAAGAAAATAAAAGATTAGGTTTTATATTCTGATGAGTTAATATCATTGCTGGATAGAAAGAATCCAGGTTGGCGAACCGTGGAAAAGTTTGTTACTCTATCCCCGTTCACGCGTTAGGCAGTAGATAGCAAGCTGGGTCGAGGAGGGTTTTAAGGGTTTTAGAAAATTGGGAACGGTCGAGGATCTACAGAAATGATAAGCGCCAAAAGCGACAAAAGCTTTCTGAAAAGCCACCGCAGTATAACGCGCGCTAGTTTTTTGCTTTTTGATTTTTTCTTTTTCTTTTTTCCTTCTTTTTTCCGCTTTCTTTTAACTCGTTACCGTTTTTTTCTTTTCCTTTTTCTCTTTTCTTTTTTTTCTTCTTGAGTCGCGAAAGAAAAAAATATATCCCGTAAAAATAATGACGTAGACTTTCGTCCATAAATTAATTTTCCTCCCGGCTGGCAGGTAACAACGCTGTGGAGAAACTCGAAGTTTTTCTTTGGAAGGTTTGGAGAGGAGCAAGCGAAGAAAAGAGAATTGAAGCTATTCGAAGACGCGTTGTGAAAAGATACTTCGTGCACAAAACTCGCGAAGGTGTCACGTTCGAAAATTGTGTGTGTAAGAAAAATGCGGAAGAAGTTTTTCAACGGCAATAACGTCGTCGGCGACGGCGACGGCAACAGCGACGGCGGCGACGACGACGACGACGACGATAGCGACGACGGCGACGGCGCAACGACTTCGATTAATTTTACGTGACGTTGAAAAAATCTGCGAAAGGTTTGAAAAGAAGGATACGATATATTCGCGAATGTTGAAAAATTAATTTTGAAGAGATCGATTTCCAGAAAAATCGTGGAAAGTTGCAGCCGCCGTCTCTTGTAGAGAAGTGATCAGAGTATTACATATATATATATATATAAAAAAAAAGAAAAAAAATAAGAAAGAATAGAAAACAAGAGAAGGTGCAAAATGAAAGGTGAGAAAAACAGTCCAGTACGTACGACCCGCTTCCAGTAATGCCAATCAGGTTTTTCGAGATATTATACGACGATTCCTCGTTCACAGAAAATGAGATAGACAGAGATATACGTATGCGCACGACGCCAGTTCGGTTAGCACATCACATACACACGCATATCATCGTTCTAACTCGTGTACGAGAGTGTGTGCTTAATTATGAGCGTTTTAACATCGTGTATAAAATGAGCGCCATATCAAAGCCCATTCTAACAGCGTATGTGGAGAGCACAGAGAAATAGAACAGAGAGCGGCGTGATGAGCTTCTTAAATATTTTCGCAAGAAAAAAAGAAGAAAAAAAAAAAAAGAAAAAGTTCCAAAAAGATACAACGGAAAATATTTTTAGCTGACGAGAGAGAAATTAATTTATGGACACGAAGTGTGACTCGCTTGGCATGCGACATGATTTATGTTAAACGATGACAGACGAATGACTGGACGGAAGGAAGAGAAAATTGCAAAACTGTGGACAGAGAGAAAAAGAGGGAAATAGAGATAGAAAGAAAGAGATGACGGTTTCCTCTTAACCCGCTCTCTCTCTTTCACCCTTTTTCTATATGTATAAAAAAGGCTTTTTTCACGGCTCTTAACGTCCACAAAGTTATTCAATTTTATTCATCGTACTTCCGGCGAGTCGTTCGTTCATATGATGAAGGCGAAAAATTATATTTGCTAACACTGTCCGTAGTACGTTATATGTGATTATTATTTCGCACTATACATATATCGAATATATGTACGTGTATTACATAACATGTATAAATCGAGTCCCTGAGATAAAATAGTAGTTTTTCTCCGGCGAGCGATCGACTGTTTTACTGGCGATAAATGAAAGTCCGATAATTTGTCAGTTGTGAATCAGAACGCTAGTTAATCGTTTTATCAATTTATATTAACGCGATATAAATAGATTGAAATAGGTTTTTACCTGTTCTGGGCGATTTTCCTCAAAGTATCCGGACTTCGTATGAGTTTATCCAATGTCTGAGTAAGATTGGCGAAGGTAGGCCGATGAGTTCGTTCTTTCTGCCAACAGTCGAGCATTAACTGATAGATTGCTTCGGGACAGTCCATCGGTGCTGGAAGTCTGTATCCTTTTTCGATCGACTTTATCACATCTTGGTTGGACCAATTCCAATATGGTCTCTCGCCGTAGGACATGACTTCCCAACAAACGATGCCCATACTCCAGACGTCGGAGGCGCTAGTGAATTTACGGAATGCTATTGCCTCTGGTGCTGTCCATCGTACCGGAATCTTACCGCCCTAATTTTAACCAACAAGATGACATACATAATTATGTATATATACATATATTTAGTAGTATCAATTATCGATACTACTCGTTTTCCTTTATTCGATCTAGACGTACCCTGGTCGTATATGCGCCCTCTGTCGCGCTTTCAATCTCTCGGCTCAGTCCAAAATCAGCTATCTTACAAACCAGAGCAGCATTCACTAGGACATTCCTTGCCGCGAGATCACGATGAACGTAATTCATTTCAGCGAGATACTGCATACCACTGGCTATACCACGTAACATACCGACCAGCTGAAGCACTTGGAATTTACCGTCGTTCGCTCGAAGAAAAGTGTCCAAACTTCCGTTCTCCATGAATTCGGTGATGATCATCACTGGATTGCTCTTTGTCACGACACCCTGAAGGAATATCACATTGGGGTGCTCAAATTGACCCATTATCGAGGCTTCCGTTAGAAAGTCGTTCCGTGCTTTGTCAGCAGAGCCAGGTTTCAGTGTCTTTATGGCCACGTCGATTTCAGTTCGACCATCCGGTGGTAGTTTCAATTTACCACGACAAACGTCTCCGAATTCACCACCACCTATAAAGTATTGAATCATAGTTTAATATTTACATGTGTATATCAAATTACGAATGAATAGAACGAATAAAACAATTTCAATTTACCGATTATGGCCTCTATCGTGATATATCCAGCGTCAATCTCTCTAGCAAATTCTCGAACAGCCTGATTTGGATCTTCGTAGGTGTGAGGATCAACGTAGCTTCTAGCACCGGTTCCACCTGTACCTCCAGCACCCGCTCCGGTTACTCCCACTGCAGGCGTGAACAGCGGCGTCGTCACTGCAACGTCACGAAAACAGAGTTCATTATATTAAGATGGGGGTCGGTGTGTGTGTGTGAAATTTAAACGGAACTCTTTCAACATTATTTTCATCCCGTAAACACTCGCACACCTTTGTTTTGTTTGATTTTATTACTTTTTCTTTTTTTGCCCCGCGATCCACCAAAACGAAATTTCATAATATCCACATAACAATGCAAACAAAAGAAAAAAAAGACCAAACGCTCAGGATATTCGATAATTCGTTTTAGTTTTGTTTTCTTTTTTACTTTTGTAAATTCTTTATTTTTTTCTTTTTTACAAAGAAACAAAACTCATCGAATCGAGCTCTTTTTTTTTCTTTTTTTTTTTAATGAACTAATTCACATGCCAGCACCATAATCATGTTGCATGCCTGGACATTGAATTGTTTCTCAAGTACGATGCATCCGACTCGTTTAATACTATATTGGTGTTTGTCTTATCGGATGGCGGATGTCTCCGGGTCTATACTCTTTTAAAATAATCTATAGAATGGTAAATATCGCTGGTCTTGTTTCATTTCTCTCTCTCTCTCTCTCTCCCTCCCTCTCACTCGTTCTTCCTCTTTCTCTCTCACTCTCCCTCTCTCTCTCTCTCTCTCTTTCTCTCTCTCTCTCTCTCTCTCTTTCTGTAAATCGATATAAACCCAGTATACATCCGTCGTTTCTTTATAGAATATTACAGAAAGGAGATATGATAGAGTCGGTCATCGGTGAAGAAAAGTGACAAAAAGATAATCAGAACACGATGCACAACGTTTTGAGATACCAGAAATGATGCATGCTCTACACTCGATACGTTCTATACTCTAGGAATGGCGAGAAGAGAAAAAATAACTTCTGTTGGTTGGACGATAAAAGCGAAACTCTTGCGAAACTAACGTATGTATATCCCTGAGCTCAAGCCGTGATCGATATGTGTACGTATTTATATACGTACATATGTATATATAGGTATGTTGTCGCGAAGAAGAGAATAGAATAAAATTTACGGATTTACGAGCGGTGATTTCGATCAAGATTCTTTAGATTTGCTGGCAAAGCACTTACGCGACGACTTGCTCTTGTTGTTGGTGTGGGTTGTCACAATCGGTGAACTGTCCATTTTGCAGTGCACTGTGAACAACACAACAACCAACACACTGATTGACAAACAGCAAAAAAAAGAAAGAAACTGCGGGTCTTTGGAATGATGAAAATTCGAATGACGCGCTCGTTTTTAATTATCATTACTATTATTATGATTATTATTATTATTATCATTGTTGTTATATCGAATGATAATGGATCTATGAGACGAAAACAAACGCTAATAACGACGATTTTCTCAGAGAAAAATATATTTCATTTTGATTTCGCTTCGGTTTCTCACGAACGTATTACGAAATATACAGAGAAACGATAGAAGTACGTAATCGTCAACATCCAACGATATACGTAACATCAATACGACTAATACTCATGCAAAACGTATAAAATGAAAAAAGAAAAAGAAAAAAAAAGAGAAAAAAAAACAAAGAAAACGATGCAAGACACACATACGCAAGCAATTAACGACGGACGCTCGCATACTTCCGTTTAATGTAACGAAACGAACCGATCTAGGAATCGGTGTGAATTTGTTTCGTTTTATCTGTTCAACGAATCTTTGTCGAACGGAAGTACGCGTGCAGTCGTTTCTACGCTATAAAATTACTAACGTCAAAAGATGCATGTACTATGTAAAGTATATACGGGGGGTGCAAGAAAGTAAAATCTATACAAAAAAAAAATAAAAAGAAAACGAAAATCCTAAAGAAGAAAAAAAAAACTTGAGGTGTTGGAGAAGACTTACTGTAGGTCACAACTAGTCCTGTAGTAGCAGGCGATTGTGTACATTGTTTCATTGGGTTTTTTCATGGATTTTTCATGGAGGCAGGTTCGATAGATTAGGGGAATCGCACATGAAAAGAAAGAATCGAAAGAATTTGGTTAGAAAAATTATTACATCGTCTACAGGCCAAATCGTTGTGTCAAATTTGGTCAGAAAGCGATCGTGTCTCTCACTGTACGTCCTCCACAAAAAAAAGAAAGGATGAGGACATCGGAAGAGCCCGACTGCCTTCTTTCTCTCTTCTTGCTTCTTTTTTTTTCTTTCTCTCGATTTCGCAGTCTCTCTACCGCTCTTCTCTTATCTCTCATTCTCTCTCTCTCCCATTCTCTCACACATTCTTATCTCTGACATTCTCTCTCGCACACACACACATATGTACACATTCTCATTCTCGCAAAAAAAGACCATACTAGAAAATATACTAGATGTTCAGTGACAAGACATTATCGTAAGGGGGTTTGTATACAAGGGGTGTTTGAAAGTGGATTCTTTTTAATACTTGCTGGTTCTAAATGGGTCAGTGGTTTCAAAATGTATTAGTCACAAGACACGAGGGCGCAGTGAGACAACTATGATAGTGACAGAGAGGGGGTTGGAGGGCAGGGGTAGGGGGTATGGTAGCGATAATAAATTTGTAAATAGAATGGAAAGAAGTTGGAGCCGTCTGGCGAGCGATAAACGTACCTTCGCCGTTTCTGTATTCCAAGGTGTCGCAATCGCTCGGCTGTTTCTTGTTACACTCGTCTGAGGCCCTGCTGCATCGAAATTGCATTATATGAGTCGAGTCGAGTGAAGCGTATGGGTTTAAATGTAAAGGGTTTCTGTGAAGAGGTTCTTTCTTTTAAAAAAGAGAAGAAAAAAACGATATTTTAAGCGATTCGATTACCTTCTCAGGAAGAGAACGGTCATGACGATGATGATAACAAGAAGGACGACAACTGCAACTACTGCACCGGCAATTATTCTGACTTGCATATTGTCATCTTCTCCGACATAATCTAAAATAATAATCGTATTATGTCATAAAGAGAGTTCAATCGATAAGATACAAGATTCTACGTGTCGTTACCGAGTCCCATCGCATGCGGTGTCTTTTTGTAGATAACAGGAGTATATTCGCCCCAGCCACGTGTGGTTTTAGCTCGAACCTGAATCGCGTAATCCGTTGCTGGTTTTAGGCCTTTAAACGTGGCAGAGAGATCTGAAGTTTGGATCACAGTGGCGTTAATGGCATCGTCGAAGCGCGGATAACACCTCACTGTAAGTATTGAAAGTTTTAATAAACGATTTTCGTTCTATTATCGATAAATTTAAATCGTTAATGAACAAAGAGAAACTCGTACGATTACCTTCGTATCTCTCGACGTGATCGCTATCCCCACCTACTTCCGTGACCGGTGCATCCCAACTAATGCTCAGCTCGGAACTTTTGACGCTCGTGATTCTAACATTGCTCACCAAACTCGGTACACTCGCTTCGGTAGTGACCGTGATGTCCACGTATTCCGACTTACCAGCCTGTGCGGACACACCATTTTCGGCGAACACTTGGAAACGATAAGTCGTGACAGCATTTAAGCCAGTGATCGTGATTTTCGTATCGTTGAAGATCTCCTTAAAAGAACAAACGAAAAAGCGTTTTAGCGAAACAAACGAAAAGAAAATAATAAAAATTTTAAGTTTCAATCGTCTCAACGGCTTACCGTGTTAGGTATATATTTGACACCCATACTGCAAGCATCGCAAACGACCCTATACGTTGTGTCGGTCCTACCACCGAGTTTGTGCGGTGCGTTCCACGAAAGGATCACCGTCGATTGGTCCACAAAATTGACGGTTAAGTTCTGAGGCGCCGACGGTGGTTCTGGTAATCAGAAAGATAGGAAAAGGGTGTAAAGAAAAAAAAAAAAGAAAATAAAAATAGTAAAAAAGAACAATCAACAGAATTGAACTGGATCAAAACTTACGCGTGCAAGGCATTTTCTTGGGATCATCAGTAGCTCTGTAATAATCGGCATCGCATCGGCATTCGGTGACAGCCTGATCGGTCGATTTGCTATGAGTAGGACACAGCTCGCAGTTGTGGGGTCCAGCCTCGTGCTTGAATCTACCGATTGGACACTCGATGCACTGCTGCTTTTCAATGTCCGCTTGGTAACCAGGTTTGCAATGACATCCACCACTTGGTAGATACCATTTACCATCACCCTTGCAAAGGAACGTCGGTGTCTCGATCTTAACGGCATTCGCGACGCAGGTGCCGATCGTTTGTTCGACCAAGGCAACTTCGCGGCCGGTTGGTGTCGCCGGAAAATGAGCGAAGTTCACCGAGATTTCCGGACAGCTAATATAATAAACCTTTATAGCGAGAAGCGAGATGCAGGCACCTTGATCACGGAAGGCAAAGTACACGCCCTTCTTCGTAACTGGTACGGATTTTATTTCGGTGTTAATCACCACTTCCGTATTCGTGTTGAATCTACCCTCGCCAGCGGCTATTCGTCCTGAAACGTTATAATAACATGATGTTATTTTTTATTTATGTTCTTTTATTCGATGATGATTAATTGACGTTAACATTAATGGATATTAGAAATCATTCGTCGATTATTTTTGATTGACTTACCAATGAGTTTATAACTGTCCGGCTCCCATGGTGGTGGCTCTTTCGTAGCAGCGTCAAACTCGTAGTAGAGAAGACTGAATGTCTCCTTGCAGCTAAGAGCATTTCCAGGGAACAACGAGCAGTCTCGTGTCGTGAATTTGATTTCTATGTACATGCGATTCGCCGGACCCCTCTCGATGAACGGCGTCCAGAGCCAATTGTTCACGTTGTTGTAAGCAACGTCGCAGACGACGTAACTCCGCCAATTGATGCCCTTGTCGAAGTTTGTGAATGACTCTTCCACCCACTGCAAGTAACGAACGAAAGTGTCCTTAATTATCGAACTCCGTTCTCCGATGTAAACAACTTCTATCTAATTGCGTGGAGTACCACGTTGGTACTCCTCTCTCTCTCTTAGTCCAATGACGGATTAAGGACGCATGACGGAAGGAACAGCGACCTCTTCTCGTCGACTATTTTTGGAACACGACTCGCAATCACGAAATCGTCAAACGAATCAGACCGTATTAAGTCCTTAGCGAACTTCGTTTTCGACTCCTACGACTTCCCACCTCTCTCTCTCTCTCTCTCTTTCTCTTTCTCTTTCTCATTTTGGTTTGTTTGGTTCTTTTTGCCATCCGTTTGCGCTTCTACGTGCTGTGCTCCGCTGAGCGCAAATTTAACATCGTGCAAACAGTAAATCGCGTTTGTACTTGAAGGAATTCCACAAACTCATTTCAAATACTCCTATGAAATTTCATTGAAAAGTTTCTCGTTCAAATTCGACGAGTCCATTAACAATTAATTGCAAGCAGTCTGTTCTCGTTCGTTTCGATCGATTATCACGATTTGATGGAATGACTCCCGCGTTCTCGGGAGGAAATACTTACACAAAATAAGAACAACAGATTCTGTGCTTGAAAAAAAAAAAAAGGAAAGACAAAAATAAAAAAAAAAAGAAAAAGAAAAATAAGATTTACAATGGACTATTAGAAAATAGGGCCACGGAGAAGGGGAAGGCTTCGTCATGCTGTTGAGAGAACGTACGTAACGTACACGTATAACTTCAATCGATATTGCGAAAGAACACAACGAATCGGTTTCCTTTCTCAAAGGAGGACGCAAGAATCTTGACCGTTTTTTAGCATTCGCTTTTAAATATACGATAGAGAAATGCTTTCGACGGATTTCTCACCTCGTAAATATCTACACATGTATATATATGTATATGTATGTTTGTATATACGTACGTACGTACGTATGACCTATTTTTTCACGAAATGGCAGGAAATAAAGAAAGAAAGAATGCAAGAAAGAGAGAGAGAGAGAGAGAGAGAAAGAAGGAGAAAAGATTTCACTTCGATAATCTATTAGCATTGAAATATCGAATATATCCATGACGATACCAAAAATGTATTTACAAGGACGCGTATATTTTCCCGCGTAAACATAAGCAAGATTTACCCTCCTTGGATCGCGAGTCAGCATCGAGTGAAATCAGCTTTTCTCGAATCCTCGGATTCCCCGAGGCGTATCCCGCGCAAAACGGGTTTTACGGTCGCTTTGCGGAAGAGACTGCGAGTTCTCGTAGTCAGCAAACGGGCTTCTTCTCGTCTCCTCTTCGAAAGAAGGAAAGGGGGAAAGTCTTTGGCTCAGGGACTACCGCAGTTGGGATCTTGTCTCAGATTCGAGGATCAAGCTTCGTCGATTTAGTTACATATATATATCTACGAATGTATTTATATATATGTATGTATATAGACATACATATAAACCTATACATATATACGTATATAGGTATTCTAGGGTTTGCTCGAGGACTGCGCTTGCTTCGATATCCCTGCGTTATCCTTGATCCTTCCTACCCTTTGCGAGAGAAAGAGAAGAGAAGATAGGTCGTCGACTTGCGACAAACAGACCGCAAGGAATTACCGGCGCGCGTTACCATTAGTTTTATTGCCTCCCCTTCGCTCGAGCTCGTCCCGAGAGAGACCGCAAAAAGTTCCGGCCGAGCACAAGAAGGATCCGTCCTCCTCACTCGTCGTCTTCGTCCGTTGTCATTGTCGTCCTACTCTTCGCTTGTCGTCTCCTTCGATACGCTGTATATTCGTGAGAGAGAAAGAGAGAAAGAAAAAAAAGATGGCGAATCGAGGAGGCCAAGCCTACTCCCGTACCGAAGATTTCCTCTCGTGAATGTCTTTCCGGCAGGGAGGCCGTAATAAATTCCTTCTATGGTTCCACGCTTACGCGAAGAAATTATTGCGGAGTCCATGAGGGAAAGAAGGAGGTAGAAAAAAGATGATGCTTCTTTTTGCTTATTCTCTTTTTCTTTCTTTTTCTTTTTTTTATTTTCTTCTCTCTCTTTCTCTTTCTCTCTCTCTCTCTCTCTCTCTCTCTCTCTCTCTCTCTTTATTTAGGATACGAACAAACGGGAAAAGGAGAGAAATGAGATCCCTCAGCGCCAGGATGCTATATTATTCCTTAACGACTTTCTTTGTGCTTCTTACTACTCTATGACGATAACGAAAGGTTTCTACGCTCGCAAGGAATCGTCTATTCGAAGGCATCTTCAAGCTCGAACGGGTTTAAGAAAATCTTTCACGGATCGTGAAGAATCTTCGTTGCGAATCGTTCTCTCTCTCTCTCTCTCTTTCTCTCTCTCTCTCTCTCTCTTTTCTCTCTCTCTCTCTCTTTTCTCTCTCTCTCTCTCTCTCTCTCTTTTCTCTCTCTCTCTCTCTCTCTTTTCTCTCTCTCTCTCTCTCTCTCTCTCGTAAGATTATATTTTCATCACTATCATCGATTCGAAGGATCGGTGTCGAACTCCCATCTTGATCTACGTTTAACACGCCGTCGGCGATCTTTCATTTTTGTTTCTCGTGAATCTCTTTCTCGGTAAATAGATACGAACTGCCGATTTAGAACAAAGGCAATAAGCCGCAACAGTATTGTTCTTTTATAAAAGAAGAGGGAGAAATAAGAGAGAAAGGAGAGACGGAGAACTATCTTATTTTATTATCATCCGACACGCTAGATCCTTTTATGGAGTTGGATGAAGAGGATTGGAAAGGAAGGAAGAAAGAAAGGAAGGAAGGAAGGAAGGAAGGAAGGAAGGAAGGAAGGAAGGAAGGAAGGAAGGAAGGAAGGAAGGAAGGAAGGAAGGAAGGAAGAGGCAAGCTTGCTTAACTCAAGGTTAAGAAAACTTCTTAAGTATATGAAAAAGAGAGAAAGAGAAACGGAAAGAGATAAAAAGAGAGAGCGAGAGAGATGGAGAGAGAGAGAGAGAGAGAGAGAGAGAGAAAAGGCGACGACGAAAGAAAAAACAGAAAGGGAAAGGTTGTCCTCGATAACAATGGCTCCTAGGTGAAAATTCTCTTCTTCTCTACCCTTGAATCACGCAAACTGCGTCTAAGTGTGCGCTTAAAGTTACCAGCTTAAAAGAGGTAGAGTCGAAAAGCTTGAGAGTAAGAAAGAAAAGAGTATAGAAAGAGATAGAGAAAGAGATAGAGATAGAGATAAAGATAAAGATAAAAAGAGAAAGAGAGAGAGAGAGAGAGAGAGAGAGAGAGAGAGAATAGTTAAGGATGGCAGAAAAAGAATTCTCTATCCCCTATCTTCCTCCCTCTCTTTCTTTCTCTCCCTCTCTGTCTTTCCTTCCTTCTCATCGTAATATTGCCACCATAATCGCAATTCCGATGGTGTAGCCGTCCCCCCAGTGAAGCGTGGAGGGTAGAGGAACTACGAGAAGACTACGCGGAGGCTGCGTCTGGGGTGGACGAACTTTTAGTCTACTGGAGGGGTTGTTCGTGGATCTTAATATATATTGAGCTCTCGTGCACACTCCACCCCTTGCGTCCTTGGGGCGACTTGCTCTTGGTGGTGATGGTGATGATGGTTGTGATAGTGGTAGTAGTAGTAATAGTAGTAGTAGTAATAGTAGTAGTAGTAATGCCACCACCCTCTATCTTTTCCTCATCCCCCTTCCCCTTCTCTTTCTTCGGCTTCAACCAACACCAACTCATCCCCTTCATCACCAATAGCGTTGCACCGGCAGGCACGTAGATTCTCCTCGTCGAGGTAGGTACTACGTGCGTGTTCTCTACAGGTCGTTTCATAACGAACCCCGGAGACAGGTGCTGACTGGAAGTGGAAGCATGGAAGATTAATACCCGCTCTTAATTCACCACGGAGCTTCTACGTTCTCGCCTTCGACTTTTCTCGCCTCGTGATCTCTTTTTTTCTCTCTTTCTTTCTCTGTCTCTCTTTCATTTTCCTCTGTTTCTCTTTCTTTCTCTATCTCTATCTATATCTCTCTATCTCTCTTTAGACGCACAACTTATTTCGAAGCTGTTATTGCTCTGGGAGTCTCAAGCGTGTTATGTAATAACAATAGCAGCGATACTCTTTCAGAGGAAATCATGAGAAACTTCCTTCAGTTTCTCTACCTTTTACTTCTTTCGCACGGAGGAAATGAGAATCATCTCTTCGAATGATCATAAGGAATCGTGTATTTTATATATATATATACATATATATATATATATATATATATATATATATGAAATATATATACATAACAGGGTATAGAAGAGCAAAGTAAAGATTTATGAGCGGATATCTTAATTTTCTTTCTTCTTTTTCTCTTTTTTTTTTTTCGTTTTTTTCTTTTTTTAGATGAGAAATTAAAAGGAAAACAATCTCGACAATTATTTCCAAGAAACGGCATAATTACAGAAAATTATTTGTAGAGTTATTTTGTTCGGTATGTTTTTCCTTTTTCATACGATCGTTTTTTTTTACGCAGAAGTATATATATATATACACACACACACACACACACACACATACATACATACATACATACATATGTACATAACATATCTTTCTGTTTCTCTCTCTCTCTAACTTTTATCTTTTTTTCACCTATGAAAAATGGTCCATCGTAGTGCTCGAACCTGATGTTCTCACAGGACTCGTCTCGCCGCATTAGAAGCCGAGAGACTTGTTCGAAGAGACAACAAAAAAGAAAAGTCAGGTTTATCGCCCGAAGAGGAGGGATTCTAGCGCGAGATCGGAGTAATTCGAAGAGAATAGGACGTGGAAGAAGAGAATGGAAGGTTGTTTTGAAGCGGCTGGTAGTCGAGCGCGTCAGTAGACACACGCACGGAGAGGGTGCACATCACGCACGAGCAAGTGCACATATGCGAGGGTAACTCTCTTGCAGACCTTCCTCTCTACCTTTCATTCTCCCTCTATCTCCTTTCTCTCTCTCTGTAACAGGAAGGGACGCATCGACACCGTTCGTCGATC